TATATATATATATATATATATATATTTGTTCACTTCTCTCCGCATCTCATAATTCCTACAAGTACTCATATTTATTGTACCAACTACGTTGTTGTTTTCCTGTATATTGTTTACATGTTCCAATCCAGATATCCTCGACCAAAATTGCTTACACTTACAGTTACAGTACTGACTATTGTTCGATGCACTAATGTTTGCCAGTCTGTCCGCGTTCCAATATGTCTCGTTCACTAATACTCATATTTCACCTCTATGAGGGAAAGACATGAGACATTTATTCATTCATTGTCTATCAATATTTTTTTAATATTCAGTCGTCTGCCTAATAACTAATTCTATAGGGGCGGCTGACTTTGATGACCTGCGAGTTTTTCGCCGTCCCTGCGTTCCATTTAGTAATTCTGAGAGGGTCTATGTCCCCCGGGGTACTGCCGGAACATACCCTGGTACTATCTAATATGCCGGACAGTACCTCGCCTACTCCACTAACGAGTCTAGGGAGTCGCCTACGCCTACTCCCTAACCCTAATCCTAACCCTAACCATATCAAATAGTGACCAGGGTACGTTCCGGTATACCGGACCGTAACCTGGGGGACATAGACCCTATGAGCTTTAGTAATGATTGTATTTGTTTTGTTTTTGTTCACGGATTTATAATCAATGTGTGATTGTATATAACTTGTACTTATGCTCGTAGGGTCTATGTCCCCCTGACCTCTGTTTGACCTGGCTCGTTTAGCTATTTCTGACTAACCCTAACCCTAACCATAACCCTATATATATTATATCAACGTGGATATTCGTCCGAGCATCGGACACCTGTTTGTATGTGCTATTCGTCCGAGCAGTTGTTGTACATGCGCTGTTCATGTTGCATGCCGCCGGCGCACGGCACGGAGGTAGGAAGTGTGAAGGGGGGTCTGGGGAATTTGGAAAATTTTGAAATCTAGACGCTCTAAAATGCTATTTCCAGCATTCTGAGGCTATTTTGAAAGTTTGGGGGCCCCTTTAGGCTGGGGGCCTGTAGCGTTTTGCTACGGCAGCCCTACGGCTGTGACGCCCCTGCATACCTGCGTTGCGTATGAGGTTATACACCATAGATAGTGTTTGGTACTATGACTCGCGTAAATAAGAGAGCCGAGTCGGTTTATAGTAAGTGTTAGGGTTAGGGTTGAGGTTGGTGTTAGGGTTAGAGAGTAGGCGACTCCCTAGACTAGCATTACATTACATTTATGTAATACAACATGAACAGCGCATGCGCAACAACTGCTCGGACAAATAGCGCATACGAACAGGTGTCTGATCCTCGAACGAATATCCACGTCCATATTATATAGGCGCAAATACACTTTCCTACCGGTCAATATGGCGGCACCCGACTCCGAACCCCCTACCGCGCCTGCCTGTACTGTCTGTACTGGGCGCATTGTATGTTAACCCCCCCCGCCCCACGCAGACACGCTATCACGCTATGGCCGGTAGGAAAGTGTATTTAACCATCATATCTCGCGAACTATTTGAGTTACGTTTCTAGAATTATATATATATATATATATATATATTAGTCAGAAATAGCTAAACGAGCCAGGTCAAACAGAGGTCAGGGTGACATAAACCTTATCCACTGGCAGCAAGAACAAGCCCGCACATACAGCACACACGCGGCCATTGATTATAATAACAACAATTATTATACAGTTATTATTATACTTATAGTTATAGTCAATGGCCGCGTGTGTGCTATACCGTACGTGCGGGCTTGTTCTTGCTGCCAGTGACCTTATCTGCTGTACTTATGCACAAATAAATGTCTTTGAATCTTGAATCTTGATTGATAGGCCTATTGGTAAAAGTAGCGTTTACACACCAATGTCGAGAGTTTGGTTAGTGTTAGGGTTAGGGTTAGGGTTTAGGGTTTTTAAACCTGGGGTTGTCAAATAGGATTTAGCCGGCCTATTTCATTTGTAATTTGTCTACAGTCTAGGTCTTACCCGAACGTTCCCTGGCCAATCTTGGTGATTCTCTCATATTTGGTAACGTCGTCCACATATGGATAATCGAAATCATCTACTTTACTCATCCTAATTGATTACAAGCGTTAAAATAAAATAGTATCGGATGTTACGAAGATGCTAAGACACATCTTCAAACCATTTCAAGTCATTTCCACTCGTAGTTCTATATTCTCCCACTACGTGCCTGTTACCTGCGCAACTTCCGGTTGGTAGCGGTAGAAATTACGGTGGTTTATCTTTGGTTTACAGTTATACGATACATTTGGATTATAAGTTATGCTCTGGTTATAGTTACACGATACAATAAAAAGAAAATTAATATGAGAAAAATTTAAAAAATGCCTAGAGGATAGCATCGGGGGCGTTGTACGGGGTGGGGAAGGCAGAGAGATGACACATAACCCTGTATATACATTATTTAAAAGTATAGCTATATATGATTTTATTTCAAAAGAAACATGTATTTTCAATTGAAATTTACATAGTTGAAAGGATGTTTTTGATTGAGTGAAATCAAAGCGCATTTAATCCCTTACGGTGCTCAGGCATCTACCGATTGACGTCACGCCCGTCTCGACTGGACGTCACGAGAGCGAGACTGCGAGAGAGCTCAGAGTTCAACGAAGGAAATGGTGAGCGAAATATCCTTTGTGTTACATCCATAGTTTTTACGAAATTGTTCGTTTTATTTGGCATGGTAAGATATAAATTGTTGTTAAAATGTAGTTTTTAATTCGGTGTGTGTTTTGTTTGCAGAATTCGGACGATATGTTTCCGGAATCTAATAAAAATTGGACGCAATTGATCACGAAAATGTGATGCTTGGCACAAACTACACACCCAGTCGGCCATCTTGCGTACTCAACCAGTTGGTGACCTTCATCTATTTCCCCCTTTAAAATGAGCAATCGTATGACGGAAAAGAATTGAAACTCAATAGTAGAGTCGAAAACAGAAAGTTCGTTTTCAAAAAGCAGCAATTGATTAACACAGTGTAGAAAAATAAAGTAAGTTGTTCAGCATATTGTCGACAATGTTGTCAAGCCTCCTCGGCATGCCTTCTCATTTCCTCTTACTCTTAGTCTTAGTCCTATGCATTCCATCACCTCCCGTTTACTCCAATAAGCAATATTCTCTTCATTTAATGCTTGTGTTTTTGATTAGTTAACAGTGTGTTGATACACGGACACTAATGTAGCATTCCTAATTAGGCTTTGGGTTTTAAATATGCCCACGTTATGTACTTGAAGTTGAAGTTGCAGTTCGTTTTGCTGGCCCTAAACCTAATAAATTGGTTATTGCAGTATTCGTCCTAACAATTATATTATTATTATATTTATTTATATTATGATAATTATTAATGATAACAAAATTAACGTTAAGAAGAAAAGGAAAGTATCTGTTTTACATTCTTACATTGGATGAAATGCCATATCCTACCAAACTTGCATAACTACTTCTCATTTATGCTCTTCGAACTATTGTTTAGCAAGTAATTTGGTACGACTACTATCTTCCGAGACTACCGCTACAAGTATTTACTTTGGGTTATTTTATACTACCTCATACTTCAGTGTGTGGTAGTCCATTAGGCTATTGCATCTATAAATGCTAACAGATGGTTCAGTTTCATAAAGAAGCTTCTGTGGTTAAATGGTAATGGTGGCAATGGCAGTGACACGATGGGGTGCTTTATGAGATAGAAAGTGGTGCGCTTCTCATAATTTAATGAGTAGCTGCTTATATAATTTCAGAATATAGTTGACACTAATTCAAGGCTGTCAGATTTCGTTGTCGTATATCAAAAGTTGCACAATACAAGAATTCAATTAATGATCACAATACGCATATACATGAGTTATTGATATTGACACAGGGTTAGAAATTAACTTATTTTGTCATGCAGCACGGACTTTCTGTCAGAGGAAGGTGCAGGCAGCAAACTTACTCGCCCAGGCAGAAAGTTTCGAAAACCATAGTAGTTCTACTCTATCTCACCCCAACAGTACTGTCCATAAGTAAGCTGGTTTGCGCTCCCATCCTTGTTTTCTTTGGTTTGTGATTCCAAATATAGTCGCCCATGCTCAACCCAAGTGTCATATGTAATGATGTAGAGACTAATGTAGGCTCAACCTGATTTAAATGGATACTATACCCTAGATTTAATGAGTATATGATAGTGAGTGCATAAATATTAGTATATACAGTGTAGCGCCGTTATAACGCGATGGTTGGGGTCCATAAAATGTCATCGCGAAAAAAGCGAGGTAGCACGTGCTAATCTAGCTGCTTACTATTGGCACCCGTGGCGAGCGTAAACAAATTATATATATATTTATCTATCACATTAAATTGGGCATTTGGGTGACACGTTTTATTCAGATAATAGATTATAGATCTTATTTGAGCATTTCATTATAAAACAGTGCCTACATAATGATAGAAACATGGAGATCTGCATCAGAGCTCTGCTATTTTGGAAATTTTATGATTTAGTAATTCGGTCGTTTTGCTAGGGGTCGTAATTTTGGCGGCTGTTATTCGGTGTGAAAAATGCCCTGGATTAGGCCCTGTAGCACTAAATCGGGGTTGTATATACGTGGCTATATAAGTGCAAAAAAGGGGGTCCAACGACTCATCGCTTTATATCCGAATTTGCGTTAAATCGGGGTGTGTAAAATCGGGGGTTCCACTGTACCTATAAATTTCTATAATAACGCATTCACATTTGTCATATAGCAACAAAGTTTCGAAATTTTTAGTTTTGACCGCTAACATGACTTCGCGATTATGCTTCTGCTGATTTATTTTGGGCATTACAGACCCAGGGCTAATCACAAAAGTGCAGTTATATTTATAACTAACTGATATTTAATAGAACGGTTTTTATTTTGTGACATATTCATATAATAACTGAAACTAAGTGTGGTTTATTAGATACGGCAATCCTTTTAAATTAATAATTAAGAAGTGCCCTTGGTCTGCAGCTGCAAAGTCCTGTTGTGTAACCTTTGTTGTAAGGAAACCGCATACCTAATGAATATTGAACAATAAAATTTATTATGTAGCATAATTTAAACCTATTTTAACTGAAAACATGCAAGGAAATTGATGGCCATGTTCCCATTTACAAAAACCCTGAACAACTGCTTTATCCATTTCAACATGTTAACTGCAACTTTGGTGCTTTTACTTTAGTTTATTAGAAATTTTCCTCCACCAATCTTAATATAATTATGCTGCTGACATTGAGAGCCAGCAGCAAACTGACTTGTGGGTCGCAACACTGTTGCCTGCTGTGCTTGATTTCAAGCCTTATTACGTTACTAGTACAGGGGTAGAAATTATCTTTTGAACACGGGAGTCCAACGGATTTCCTACCCTCAAAAAGAGGGAGTCCGCAGTCTGAAGTTCAAAATTAAAGATATTGACAATAACGCATGTGCTTATTTTTAAGATTCATGCGGTTGCACGTCCGCCAAATTTTCTTGGGACATTAGCTGGAAAAATACGGTTATTCCGCGAGGCCGTGCTCTGGAACGAAGTAGTTGGTATGGCAGAATTTTCAGGGAGTCGCACGGACTCCTGCATATGTCAAATCGGGGAGTATTTGACTCCGGACCCGTTAATTTCGCACCCTGCTAGTACCTTTCTTCATTCTATTTTCTGGTCCGTACACCTGCCAGTCTCCTATCCGTATGCCTACTAATTTCAAAACAGTAATCCCCTATAAATGTAAATGCCACATTTTTAATAATAGTAGAGGTTGGTACATCGTCATGGCAACTAGTATTTGTGCCTGGGTTTTAAATTTTACAATATATTTGTTTAGATGCAGATAAGCATTGCTTTTTCATATCTCACTGATAATATTTTATTATTTGAATGATTATTACATTTTTTTAAATTGTTTTATTGGGATTGTAGCCTCAGGAAAGTGACATGTATTGCACGTTTGTGCTATAGACTTGTTCTCACATCTAAACCAGTTCATGACTACTATTGCTAACAATGTGGTAGCTGTGTATTGGCTCAGTGCCAAAACGTTGCTCATATTGATTGTTTGCTGTGGGTTGTACTCTATGTGCCATGGCTATAAAATTGTTCATGCAAACACAGCTTCTGTTGAATGAAGTATTGTTAAACTATTTTTGCAGCAAGGAAACCAGATATTTATAGTATGTTCATGTTGTAATAGCAGAGTTTTAACCTATTGCAAAGACAATAATTAGGAAACTTCATACTCTAAGGAAACTAGTTATAGGGATTTTTATTTTTTAACTTTTAAATTATATTAGTAGATTCACTCCTTATATCCATTTATCTACTTTTTAATTATGGTTAAAGCTGCACAGAGGAAATAATATGTACATGACATGGCATAACGTTTGTAGTTGCCCCATTAATAATGTCCCCAAAGTCCATAAACGCACATTAAATAATATAGTGGCACATTAAGAGGGTGGATCCTCTTATTAATGAATATTTCAATTAGTAAAACTAATTCATGAAATTTTATATTTACTGTTACTTGGTAGTTATAATTTGAATCATAATGGTTTGACGATTGTGCTAAATTTCTATTGCCATAAGCAAATGTTTATAGAACATTGACCTTTCTAGTGGTATTAAGTTTTGTATGTAAACCCATGGAGGGGTATTGATCATTTTTTCTGTGAAAAAGCAGCTTGTGTGAAATTTATACGGATTTATAACTTCAGTGACATTTAATTGAGAATGATAATTTGCTTATATGAAGTATAAAAATGTGAGTGTTTTTATTGCCAATTTAAACTAATTGCCGTCATTGTTCTATTTTCAGATTAAAAGTATACTTGAAAGAGAAGAAGCCTGAGGATAGATGATAATAAAAGCTTTGTAGAGAAACCAAGCTGTTACTTAGCATGGTAATGCATATTATTTTAGCACACTGACCAGGGGGTCTCCATTATTTATTTAGCGTAACATACACAAACTTATGAAAACTCAAGGATGTAAACCATCTGATGAGGGGAGATTAGATCTACTGAAGCTTTATCGGTTGTCTTTTCATTTTACTGAGGTTCATCTCTCGTTTGTGATTTGAGTAGGCATCACTGATCTGTGTGCATTGTTTTTTGACTGTTATTGTTTATTTGGAACACTAGCGTGAGGGTGTAGATTTGCAACTATTAAGGCCCTGTTCACATTCCAGTGTTAACCATGATGAGTAAACTCCCAGTTGAGTTAAGGCAAGACAACAAGCATCAACATTGTATATTTGCATATGTATATCCCAACTATTTTAATACTGTGCAGTTCATTGTCCCATATTTGTCTCCAAAGCTAGTTCGTGTTGCATAAGCGTAAGTGCAGCGGTTATTTATTTAAAGTTAAGTTGATCTGAATTTAAGGTTTAACTGTGTGAACACAGGTTTAAAGAGTAGGTGTAAATCATCACAATGTGACACAGTGTATAATTTAGTTAAACAGTGGTAAAGCAAATAAAGCCCTGCTCAGGTCGCACTACGATTTGACTATCGGCGACTACTTTATCGCCGATTAGCAGCGTAGCAACACTCACGTCGACTTGAAGTGACTTCACGCTGTACATCGCCGATTAGATCGTAGCGTTCTGCAGGAAACGTAGACGGGTTCGCGGCCCCAGTATTTGTACTAGCACAAACAGAGCAAGCTTGACGCCGGGACCAGTCTACATAAAACGAGTCACATGACCAACAAAATGGTGCTTACCAGTAAACATCAGGTAACTTCGTAAATATATCCTCGATTTTCTGAAAATCGTTATAATCATGTGCAGAAAAAGAATTAAAAAAATTGCCTGTGATATACGGAAAACTTAATATATATTATTTTGAGAAAGGGTTTGGGCAATAATCCCTCCTTGTAAACTGCTGTGTAGGCTGCCATTTTGTTAATCACGTGACTTGATAATCATGTGACTCGACACGTAGCGGTGATTGGCTGCCACTCACGATTTGTCGTCGACCGGCGCATAGAAATAGAACCGTTTCTATTCCTGCGATAGCAGTCGGCGACCGTATTTTCGATCGTAAGAGAACTCATGTCGAGTTTAGTCGCCGATGTTTTTATCGGCGATCTGGCCGGTTTTTGACGTACGATCTTCAAATTTTGTCGGCGACTAGGTCGTAAGGGCGACCTGAGTGTATGTTAATGGTAGCTGACAGTGAAATAGTAAATGTCAACAAGAATCTTTTATAAATGATTTTTCTAGTTATTGTTTTTAACATGTATGTGTTCACGATACTAATGTTGGCGAGTTTTAGGTTTCATGCATAACGCCACTGATGTGTTAGCATGTAACGCTTAATGGCTTGTTTAATTATCCCATTTAAATAACAATTACTGATTAACTGGTTCAGAATCATATAATTTTTGTGAAATTGTGCTTATCTATAATTTTTACAAGTTCAACAATTTTTTGTCATACCTTAGTTAATTGCGCTGAAGGGGTCGTTGTCGTATATGTAGTACCCGAGGTGTCGGCGAGTATGTCGCCTACGCCTACTCCCTAACCCTAACCCTAACCATATCAGATAGTTACCTCGGGTACATATTATACGCCATTATACGACAACGACCCTTCGTGCGTTACTTGCATGCACATTTCAAAGGGGATGTGGTGATTTAGGTGGATTTGGTATTTAAATTCGACTTTCATATCCTGTTCTGTTGTGGGTTGGTAATATCTGTTTTCTACTTTCAGGGGTTTAAAAAAACATTTTACACATTCGCTTACTTTCATTTAAGAACATGTATTCCTTTATACATTACACTATTGGTGGGAAATTATCATAACTATATTATCATTGTAGCAAAATCGCAGCATATTTAAACGTCCAAGAAACAAAGGCAACGGTAAATCCACCTGAAGCTGAAGGTCTATAGCATAATCCTAGTTGACATGAATTACCGCATTACATAATATTCTGAGACGTACAAAATGCGTACTTTGGGCACGAGAATGCTTCGTACAATGAACAACGCGTGAACAGCTGATGAAGCACCGACTGTCTTTGTCGTCGCATTTTCTCGTCTCTGGAAGCCACGTCGTGATCAGCGGTTCCAGTTGAGGCCTATGTGCTGTGTGGCTGCTCACACAGACTATGTCTAAGTTTCAGGGTCACCTGGCAGAAGGGGTATGTAAGTGTGTAAGCCTCCACACTCTGATGAGGCTGATAGAGGATTCGATCGGTTTAGATGTCGTCTTAAGTGTTGAGAGAGAGAGAGATTAAAAGAGATGGGGGGGGGGTTGCTCGGCTTGTGTGTTCCCTTACTGCTTCTTCGTCAGATAGGTTGCTGATTAATTTTAATGTGTGGTGTTTTTTTTTGTAAACATTCCATACATGTCACCAACTTTATAAATGGAGATCCTTGTGCTGAACCTCAATTTTCGGTTAATTTTTTAAGTGCAATTTGATTTTTATTGGTTGTATAGTTTTGCTTCATATTTCTCCTAATTCTGTTTTTCTCTGAACCAGCATTGCTTTGCGTTGCTGCAGATTTGAGTCCCGTAAAAGTACAAGCCAGGGCTGTCTGCTATTTGTCACTATTCTGTCGTCTGCTGCAGTGCTAGTTGGGGTGGTCATGTGTGCAGTCTTACCAAATCCATCATTTATAACACGTTGTTTATAATTATTGAGTCTCTGGATGTGCAAAACAGATCAATGAGTGGTTGAATAAAACCGTTTGTGTGCGTGCCTGCGTGTGTGCGTGCATGAATAAATTAATGGGGATGGGTGCTAATAGAGGTTATGATTTCTTAAGACGGATCTCCTTAATGTACGCATATAGAAAGGGAATGAATTCGGATAGTGGATAGTGGATAGATAGTCATTACGGAGTGCACGTGCTCGTGTGTACGTGTCAATAGTTTTTTGTAGCATGTGCCTGGTGTGGCTGTGGAGGGCAATGAGCGAGTGGTAATATTACTGAGAGTAGTGTGTAAGATATAGAAGTACTTAAACAATACATTGAATTATGCAAATATTAGGCGTCAAGTAAATTCAGCAATAATCTTAGAGAAAGGTATGCATGTTAACATTGATTTCACATAAAAGAGCGACAGATAACAGGTCTAAGCGTATTTGGGGTAGTATATAATCGGGAAGAGCAGGTGTATATAGATCAGGAGTAGATAATAGGGAATTCCCTATTATTTACTCCTGATATATATATAATAGATAAGCTATGAGAGTGCTATAGGTGAGGGGGAGGTCGGGAAGCAAGGTCCATCATTCGTACACGCGTTTCTGTTACATTACGTAGTGAAGCGTGTTTCTCACTGCTGTACCGTTTATTCCGCGTGCGTGGGTGCCGGGGGGGGGGGGGGGGGGAGGTGAGGGTTCAGTGCGTATGCACCGTCTACGTGGGTTTGTAGGTGTGCGTTATGCGGGTACACCGTAGGCAGTGCATTGTTTATGTGTCCAATCACGTTTATGTGTCAGCTGTGCAGGCAACGCACGGGTAACCTACTTCTCACTGGTCAGTGGCGAGCTTGGGGCATTGAATAGGGGTTGCTCTCGTAGCCTGAGTGTGTTTATGGCTGGTGTGCAGTGTAGATTTTCCACATTGATCTATGCCTAGCGTTCATGGGATTTTTGTTTGTTACGCCACCAGTGGAGATAAAGGGGGAAGGCTGTCATATCCGCCTAAGTATGAATTCTGCAATATTCTTTGTTAAAAAAAAAGCTGAAGGCAGGTTGATGTTAATTTCTGTCGGCACTGCCAGGAAGGCGTCTGTTGGAAGAGTTTTAGCTGGTTCCAGTTTACATAGAGCTGTCAGTAAGCTCACGTAGTTCATGCAACCGCCTGTGACCCTGTTTTGCAGTGCATATGTTTGAGTAGTAGTGTCTGTGGCTGTGTGTATCAGGTTTGCCGATTTCCGTAGCTTGCTTCACTACTCTCCAGCGGTACGCTTCGATAACTGCACGTGCGTTGTTCTATCAGTCGTACGATTCCATGCGGTAGTTCAGTTACAATTTCATTCGGTAGTTTTTGTTGTATTGTGTTGTGTAGAGGAATGTTATTACTATGTGCAAGTTTAAATCCTAGCTCCAGCCAGCTGTTATCAATGTGAGCCGCTTCATGTTGCATTGTCACCACATTAGAACACTGCCTGAGCTTTGTGAGGCATTTCTATTGTCCCCTAAGAATGTATAGCAAATGAAGAACGAGTGAATGGTTATTTCCAGCGTTCTACTGCCCCCCCCCCCTCAATTTGGTATTTAACATATTTCCAGCATTCTGTCTTGCACCCCCATATTTACTGTATAGCTCTTACACGTGTCAACCTCACCTTACATTTCCCGTACAGTTCTTACACGTGTGAACCTCACTTTACCTTTCCCGTACAGTTCTTACACCTGTGAATCGCACCTTACCTTTCCCGTAAAGTTCTTACACCTGTGCACCTCTCCTTACCTTTCCCGTACAGTTCTTACACCTGTGAACCTCTCCTTACCTTTCCCGTACAGTTCTTACACCTGTGCACCTCTCCTTACCTTTCCCGTACAGTTCTTACACCTGTGCACCTCTCCTTACCTTTCCCGTACAGTTCTTACACCTGTGCACCTCTCCTTACCTTTCCCGTACAGTTCTTATACGTGTGAACCTCACCTTATCTTTCCAATACAGTTTTTACACCTGTGAATCGCACCTTACCTTTCCCGTACAGTTCTTACACCTGTGAACCTCGCCTTACCTTTCCCGTACAGTTCTTACACCTGTGAACCTCACCTTATCTTTCCCGTATAGTTCTTACACCTGTGCACCTCTCCTTACCGTTACCATGCAGTTTTCACACCTGTTCACCTCTCCTTACCATTACCATGCAGTTTTCACACCTGTTCACCTCTCCTTACCATTACCATGCAGTTTTCACACCTGTTCACCTCTCCTTACCATTACCATGCAGTTTTCACACCTGTTCCCCTCTCCTTACCATTACCATGCAGTTTTCACACCTGTTCACCTCTCCTTACCATTACCATGCAGTTTTCACACCTGTGCACCAATATCCCTTCATCTTCCTGCTCGGTTTCCTTTCAGTTCAATGCTACATATTTTACCATTAGTGCGACATCAGCATGATTACAGATAACCAACCATGGCAGCAGGGGTAGAAATAAGGAGATATAAGAGATGGTCCACAGGATTGTTCTCTAATAGTAATGCGGTGTGCAAGCCTAAGAAATAGAATTTACATGGTGATAAAATGGTTTAATTATTCACCTACAATGAATGTATTAAATTGACTAGGTCACGAATTTTCTATGGTAAAATTTGTAAAAAAAATTGTTGCCATTTTTTTACATTAAAGGTAAAACTAACCGGACTAAACGTATCGTCAAATTCTTACCTGATAAATCCAAAAAACCTGGACGATTTGATATTAATGTTCCTAACATTAATTGCTTGCTATGG